ACGTGCCCCTCCTCCCTCATGTGTGGCTCCTCCCTCCACGTGTGGCTCCTCCCCCATGTGTGGCTCCTCCCCATGTATACCCCCTCCCCGTTTCTGCCTCCTCACCTGTAGAGACCCCTCTTCCCCGTGAGTGGCCCCTCGCCTTGTGCGTGGACTCCCTCCCTTGTGAGTAGGCCCCTTTCCCTGTGCGTGTCCACCCAAGGACTCTCTCCCTGACAGGCAGTCTCAGCCCCCTCTCTTCTCTTCGTCCCCCTCGTCCACCTCTCTTCTCTTCTGTCCATCGGGCCGCCGAAACCCACTCTAGCTCCAAGAAGCCGCAGGTGACAGGCGTTGTCGTCCCTGTGGGGCTGGTCACTGCTGCCCTTAGCCTTGCTGGTTGTCACATGATGTCTTTGGTTCACGGTGGCAGTGACTCCTGAGACCCAGACCCAGGGGCGTCCTTGTCTCTGATGCTTTGTGTGTGCACAGCCATCCAGGGGAGCCAGGGGTGAGCTCAGGGCGAGGTGCAGGGCAGGTTCCGCTGGCCCCACCTGGCTGGGCAGTGCCAAACACTCAGCCTGGCCAACAGTCGTGCAAAGCCAGCAGACTGTACGTGACCACTAGGAATGGTCGTAGAGCACATTGTGTGAATTGATGTGGAAGATGGCATTTGTAAATTTTTATAACCATTTAAGAATATAAAACTCATTTTTAGTTCAAAAACGTGAGCACACCTGCCGTGCCCCCTGTGTGCCGGCACTCTCCCCTCTGCTGTGGACAGTCACCTTTCTTACCTGCCCACATGGTCGCTGAGCTTCCTTCTCGGCCCTGGCAATGGACAGCCCCTCCCCAAGGCCTGAGCCCGGGATGAGGGCTGGGTGCTGGTCCTCCTCCCGGCTGGCAGGGATGGCTGCTGCGCCCCCTGCCCCCCCGTAAGTCCTGGGCCCTGAGCCTGTTCCCGGCAGGCAGATGAAGGTGAGTCAGTTCTCTGGAGCCTTCGCCGCACCTCCTTTTGATTCCCTGCCCTCCTGTGCGTTTGTTCCTCATGAAAAGCAGCCCTGCTGAGGCCGGAGTCGTGCCAGCCTGCGGAGGGCCCAGCGCCAAGCCGGATGAGCGTGGTATTTGCATAATGGTTAATTGATTGTGGCTCAGGCTAATTGGTCAACAGAACGGATTGCCAATAAACAAGCACTGTGTTCCAGAAAGGAAATGGGATTAGAGTTGTCTAAAGAGCTTCCAGGGAGTCCTGGTGGGGTGGCAGTGAAGCACTCAGCTGCTGATACCACGGTTGGAAGTTTGAACCCAGCCAGGGGGAGAAAGACCTGGTGCCCAGCTTCCATGGAGGTGACTTCCCAGGGAGCCCCATTTGATAGATCTGCTTTTATAAAAAGTTGAAATCAACCCCATGACATCTGTGACGAGAACAGAACACTGCTGTAGGAGATGCAGCCCCAGCAGGTGCCTGTCCGACCCAGCATCTCTCTGGACAGAGGAAGTGGCTTCCCCAGGACCCTGCCTGTGTGTCCCTGCACAAGCCAGCCTCATGCCCCCTGCCTGCCCAGCCCTTGCCCCAGCTGCCCTTTGGTGGCTTTGTTCCCCATGTGCCACCCTGTCACGTCCGTGCTTCTCTGGATGCTCCACTCTGCCACTCGCCTGGCACCGCCCTCGATGATGTCCCGGGGAGAGGCAGAGCTCTCCCAGGGGGCTGAATGGCAAATGAAGACCCTTTCCTGAGGCTCTCATAGTCTTCAAAGCCTTTAGGATGTAGATAGGGCTGGTCCTCTATCTGGCGTTGAAGTACCAGTCAGACCCTTTCCTGGGGAGGACTGCTCTCTGGCCGGGTCCGGTGTCCAGGCTCCTGCCTGCTTGTCAGCAGTGACCAAGTGCCACGCTCACCTGGTGCCTCTGGGGGCCTCATGCCCCAGCCCCTTCAGGCCTCCCTGAGCCCCTGAGTGAGTGTCTGTGCTGGGGAGGTACCCTCTGAGGATCCTTGGAAAGAATGTTGTCGCTTCTTCCATCCCCCACGCTGTGACAACCACAGATGTGCCCAGTTACTGGCAGGTCCTTTTGGGACAGAATCACCCCACGTGAAGCCTTGTCCTGGATGAGAGGGCAAGGTTGGGCCTGGCCTCCCTCTCCTCCCATCTCTGGCACCCACACTGGAGGTCCTGACGTCCTCCTGCAGGGAGCCTGCTGCTCCTGCCTTTTCTCAGGAGCCCCCTCCACCTCCTGGTCCCACCCCCGAAGGTTCAGGCCTGCTCTCTCCAGCCTCTTACTCGGGCAGCAGCTCAGGGCCCAGGGCTGAGTCCTTCAGGAAGCATCCTGTGAGGCTGCTTGGGGTGAGGGGCCTGGGATGCAGCCCCCACAGGGCTCATCTGGCGTGACGCTCCTGGCCAGTGCACTGACCCCCCTCTTGCCAGCTGTCCTATGTCTTCTCTGTGATGAGGAGGACATATCTTGTGTTCAGCCATGCAGCCCCATGGGAGGAGGTGTGGAGGGGCTGGGACCCCACAGGAGGAGATGTGGAAGGGCTGGGACCCGACGGGAGGAGATGTGGTGGGGCTGGGTCCCCACAGGAGCACGTGTAGAGAGGTTAGCGTGCTGCCTGGTGGCACTCTTTGCAACTTCTCCTGTACCCCTCAGTCATATGCCCTCCCACGACCCGTTCCCCACCTGTGCCAGCAGGTGCCTTCCCCATTGCCTGTGTCTCATGGAGCGTCTGCAAGTCCCCTGCCACGTGCTTAGTGCTGCAGGTCTTCATGCCCAAGGGGGAGATGGCAAGTGACCTGGCTCCCTACCAGGCTCCTCTGACAACCCTCGGACAAAGCACATGCTCCCCACTTAGCCCTGAAATGCCACGGGGGGCGGGAGGCCTGGTCGCTGGGCAGGACTGAGCTGCTCAGGACAGAGCACTGTGAGAAGGCGAGGGGATGGTGCGATCCAGACACAGCACTGGGAGGACAGGCCGTGTGGTGGCCAGAATGGGGGTCACTGCGCTACCAGGCTCCTTGTGAAAGTCACAGACAATGAGAATGACCTTCACTGAGCAGCAGCTTTGTGAAATTTTACAGCCGTCGGATTAAATGCAAGGTCCTGGAAGCTTCTGGAAATAGCAAATAAGTCAGGCTGAAGGACGAGGGTCCTAACAGCATTAGCTTTCTCTCAGCTGGAGTGCTTCATCCCTGGACGATGAAAGAACCAGGCCTTGAACTTGGAAGAGAAGTAAATGTCAATCTATCAATCAGTTATGCAAAGGGAATGAAGATGTGAGGCACATCAAGTCTGAGGTTTTACCTCCTTTGTCAGGAGCTACTTACTCAGGACTGTGCTGCAGCCAAATGCAGAAATCGTTCAAGACACGGGCTGGAGAAGACTTAACCCCGTCCAGGAGTGTGCGGGGCACCATGGTAATGGAGGGACGCAGGGCTGAGTGACCCCAGGAGCAGGCACAGAGTACCGCGGGCATCCGCGCCGGCTGTGGGAGACCACGCCAGGAGGAGCTGAAAGAGTTTGGAGCCATGGAGGAAAGTAACTTCCAAAGAGAGGAGGGGCAGCTGACAGCTCCAGGACGCACAAGCAGAGCGTGCAGCCACAGTAGCTGCCTGCTCACGGATAAGCAGTATTTATGGCATCATAAAAATGTAAATATTGCCATAACCAAAGGTCGTAGCAGATGTGAGGAGAGCGATGTGAACCAGGGTGTGGGAGAGGGCGGTCCCACCAAGGTCCCCAACTGAGAAGGCAGGGCAGGAAGCCCAGTGTGAGGAAGGGCACGGAAGATGATTCCAGAAGGACCCACAGCAGAAGGGCACCAGATGAGAGAAAGAGGCAGCAAGCAGGAGTGAGACGGCAGTGGGGATGCAGCGAGACTGTGGAGGGATGCAGTGAGGATGCAGTGTGACTGGGGGGATGCAGTGTGACTGGGGGGATGCAGTGTGACTCTTTGGATGCAGTGTAACTGTAGGGGATGCAGCGAGACTGCAGTGGGGATGCAGCAGGGGATGCAGTGTGACTGCGGGGATGCAGTGTGACTGCGGGGGGGGGATGCAGCGAGACTGCAGTGGGTTTGCAGCAGGAATGCAGCGGGGCATACAGTGTGACAGCAGCAGGATGCCACAGGGATGCAGCGGGGATGAGTGCTGGCATGTCTTTGCATCCCGAGTCCTCCAGCCTTTTCCCAGCTCACATTAGCACAAACAGGATGCTCCTTGATGTGCACGTGTGCAGTACGTGTGCAGCTTGTTCTGCCTTCAGGTGCAGGCATTTTTTGATTCGTTGGTGGTGCGGTGTCTGATGGTTCAGATCCCTTTGATTCTCCTCAGCAGACAGACCCAGCAGTGTGCTGCTGGCCAGCAGATCTGATCCTAGCAGCTGGCCTGCGGGTTTCCAAGGCTGTGAGCCATTGCTTGGGGGGAAGAGGCAGGGCAGGCCGGGTGCCCTGGGGACGCCTGTCTGCCCTGAGGCTGGCTCTGGTGGGACAAGGGCAGGAGGTGGGCCCAGGCCTAGGGAATGGGAGAGGACCAAGGAGCCAAGGGACCTTCAGGAGACTGAGGCAAGGTGAGTGGGCAGGATGCGGGCGTCCAAGGCGAGTTGGTGCCCGGAGCTGGTCATCTGCACACACAGGTACCACCTGTCCCCATGTGGGGGCACCACCATGCTTACCCATCATGGACCCCTTTCCTCTGCTTGGCCATGGGCGCTGCCCTCGCCAGGCCCCATGCCGCCCCGCCCATGTGCCTGTGCGCTGCCATGCCTCCCGCCCGCCACACTCCGCTTCCGCCGTCTTTCACCGTGTGGCTCATTCACAGATGTCATGTGCAGGCCATCCTGGGCACCGGCCCTGCCCGGGGCACTGCCTCTAGTCAGCGAGATAGTGACCAGTGTGAGGGGGACGCAGAGAGAAGGGGTGCCGTCACCTAGGGTGGTGGTCTGGGGGGCCGTTCTGCAGAGGTGGCATCAGGAGCCAGTGTGTCTAGCTGGGCACACGCTGAGAGGGGTGGGCCCAGAGCACCCGTCAGGAGCTGAGCAGTGGAGGGCCCAGCAGGCCGGGCACGGGGTGGAGAGGCCAGGGCAGCTGTAGCCGTCCCCATGACGGCCTGGCTTAGTGGGAGCAGGGGGGCCCTGGCTGGCCTTAGAGCCCTCCTAGCAGCCCTGTGAGAGACTCCCATCCCCTCGGCGCCGGCTTGGTCCTGGAGGTACAGCTGTCAGCGGTCCCCCAGAGAGTGTCCAAGTCCTCCGTCAGCCCCCTCCCGCTGGGCCAGCCACCTACTGTGCCACACAGACTTCAGGCCCTCACGTGGGCTCCCTGAAGGCCGCTGGACATGCTAGACCCAGAGGCAGAGCTGTGCCGTGGCCAGCAGTTCATCCTTCAGGGGCAGCCAGTGTCCCCTTAGGAGCACCAGCCAGGGGCCTGGCATGAGTGTCTTGGGTCAGCCCTTCAGGCAGGTGTGGATCCTGCTGTCTTCCTGTCTGGACAGATGACAGGTGGAAAGCTGGGTTCATCTGGGTTACGGCACCCAGATGGGCTTAGGGCCTCAGGGTTGCTGGGGGACAGTGGACACCCCCACCTGTAGTGAGGGCTCCAATGACTTGAGTGGCACTGCCTCACACTTGATGTGCTTTCCTGAAGTCTCTGGGGACGTCACATGCCCCTTGTCACCGGCAGATGGCTTTTTGTCCCTGGCCTGGAGCAGGCTCCTGGAGCCTGGTGTCCCTGTGGTCACACAGGGCACGGGGCCTGGCACCAGTCTGCTCCCTCGACAGCTTTTGAGTCTCTCCCTCCTCTGTGTAGTGCCTCTTCTCCTCCTTTGTCACGAGAGGTCCTGGACCACCCCGGCAGGCCTGTGTGTGCCCTCCGGCCCCACGGGCAGACCCTGGGCATGGGGCTTCAGTGTAGGTCAGCTTGGCGTGTAGGACAGCCCAGCGGAGACAGGGACCCCAAGCAGCCTGTAGTGTAAGCCATCTTGGGAAGTTGGACAGAAGCCCTCGAGAAAAACCCCCCTGAAATTTACATTCTAGACAAATTAGTCTGAAAGAAAACAGACTGTGGAGAAGGACTGAGGAGGAGAGGAGACCAAGTCTAGAGAGGAAGAGGGAGCAGACCAGGAAGCCGGGGCTGGCGTAAGTGTGTCGTTGACTGTCCACACCGCCCATCTCCATCGGCGCCCGCATCTGGCCGCCCGCCCCATCTTGTCCATGTGACCCCCATCTCTAGCTGTCATGGGCACCTGTGCTTGACACGGTCCCCCATCCCACATGCCATTCCCGTCGGCCCTTCCCGCCACCGTGTCCTCTCCAGCCTCTCGTCCCGACCCCAGGGCCTGTGGAGCTGGCGTGGCCACTGCCTGGGCGCATCTCCTGGCCCGCACAGACCGAGCTCTTTCTCTGTCTTCACCTCCTGTCCCACCATCTCCTCCCAGGTCACACCGGAAACGAAACCAGCCCAAGAAGGCCAAGCCAGACGATCCCAAGGCAGTGGGGGAGGGAGCAGCGGCCGGGGCGGCCTTTCTGGAGGACACTGGCGGGGGCACCAAGGAGGAGGCCGCGCAGGAGGCTGACCCTGAGGAGGAAGAGGATGCGCTGCCCCCACCGTCGGGGAGGGACGCCGAGGCCACAGAAGGTCAGTGCGGGCTGGCGGGTGGCCCAGTCCTGGGCCCCTGTGTGGGCGCCAGGTGGGCAGAGCTAGCGTTCACGATTAGAGACTCTGATCCCCTGGCTTTCTTGGCAGGGTGGTGGTTATAAAATGATAGAGTACAGACCAGGAGCGAGAGAAGAGGTTGGTCACCTCGTCCACAGAGGTCACTGCCATTTGTGGCCTTGGGCAGGCATGTGGGTGCTGTGGGTCCCCTCACCGTGTGTCTCACTGTCCCCAAGAAGATCACCCTGTCGGGCGCAGGAGGGATGCCATTAGCCAGTGGGCCCTTCCGCGAGGCTGCTCTTCCCAGGCCCACTGCCAGCTTACGTGACCAGGGCGGCGTGGCAGTGCCCCCTCCTACCTGGCTCGTGGCCCCGTTGCAGGGTGGTGTGGACAGAGGGGAGCGTGAACGGGAGGCGTGCGTGTGTGTGATTCAGAAACCACTGGGTATCAGTCTGCCATTCCACAGGTTTCCTTTGCTTGTTTCGTGGCTGACCTGCCCTTTCCTAACTTACGGCTTCAGCTTCCCAGGCATTTTTACATTGGCGCCTACTCCTTGGGTAGAAGGGATGGACTTCGTCCCTCTCCAGGCCTTTCCAGATGTCCCGTCCCTAGCGAGGCAGGGGCCAGACAGCACCCTGACTCAGTGCCGCCCAGCCGTGGGCCCCACCTAGCAGGCACACCAGGGGGTGCCACCTGGGTCCACAGAATCCTCTTTTCACGGTGGTGTCTTGGATTTTATGGGACCAAAGGATTCCCTTTTCCAAGTTGTAAGTCCGCAGGGTCCCCTGTTGCTGATGGTAAAGATTATGTGGTTTCCATGGTGACTGAGATGTGGCTGTGGCTCTGCTCGGCACACACATTGGTATGAGCATTGTGCTGGGCAACGTGGCTGGAGAACGGGGTGGGGGGCAGGCACCCTCAGTGTGCCAAGAGAGGCAGGTGCAGACTCTTTCAGGTGCTCGTAGGGCTGTGGTGGAGGGAGGATCCCTGTTGGGGAGCAGCTGGTCTCCCAGAAGGGAAGAGTGAGGGTCCTGTGGCAGAACTGGTAAGGGAGGTGGCGATGTGACCGGGTGTGGAGGAGTCAAGCCGTGAGGCTGAGCAGCTGGCTGGCTGTCTGCCGTGTGGAAGTTCCTGCTGGGGCTGCCTCAGAAAACAGCAGCCCAGCTCCCTCATCGGGTGTCCCGGAATGGGGGTCCTTCCAGACCAGGAATGAAGCATGGGCTCCTTTATATCTGTTCTGAGAAAGACACGAGCACCTTTTCAACGCTGACAGGCAAGATGAAGAAGTAGACAAAGTCAGAATTGGAGCAAGAGCACAGTTGCCTCATCTGTAGACAACGTGACAACACAGAAAAGACAGACCTGTTGGAATGATGGCATTTTTTAAACTTTTTAAAAATTATTTATTTTCATGAAAATTTACAGAGACCGAGGGTTTCCATTCATTCATTGTTGCACTTTTGTCCCTGCCCACCTCTCCCCTCCAGTGTGTTCTTCTCTTTGGAAAGTAAAAGAAAAATTCTTTCATTGTTTTATAATCCCTCCCCCCAAGTCCCCTCCACTGTGCAGCCTTCATTCTGGACTCCTACCTAATCACATATCCCTTTTAAGTAGTTCTCTCCCTCATCTGTTTCAATGCAGTATACATAATTTATCCCATCTTAGGTCTCCCTCCTACCCCGATGGCAATCCCATTTTACAGCAGTGGCACTATGCAGTATTTGTCCTTTTGTGACTGAGATAGTTCAGCATAATGTCCTTCAGGGTCACCCATTTTGTAGAATATTTCATGAGTTCCTTGTTTTTTCAATGCAGCGTAGTATTCCATTGTGTGAATATACCACAGTTTCTCTATCCGTTCGTTTGTTGATGGGCACTTAGGTTGTTTCCAGCTCCTTGCTATTGTGAACAAAGCCGTGATAAACATGGGTGTGCATATATCTGCTTGGGTGGTGGTTATGGTTTCTCTAGGGTATATTCCCAGTAGTGGAATTGCTGGGTCAAATGGTATTTCTATTTGCAACTTTTTGAGAAAGTGCCATACCGCCTTCCATAGTTGTTACACCATTTTACACTCCCACCAACAGTGAATAAGGGTTCTAGTTTCTCCACAACGTCGCCACCATTTGTTGTTTGGAATGATGGAATTTCTAAGGAGCCAGTAAAGTGGCTGGATATGAGCCTAATAGACAAAAGCCAGATTATGTTTGTGAGGTGCTGGGGCACAGTTAACACAGCCAGCTTCTGACGGGTCAGTGAATTGAATGACCAGCTGCTCCAGTGGTGGAACACATGGCAACCTGCACCTGCAAAGATCTGCAGCCTTGAAAACCCGCTGGGGCAGTTCTCCACTGTCCTGCCAGAGTGCTGAGTGGGTGTCCGCTCCATCGATGGTGCGTGTTTTGGTTTAGGTGTTCCTTGTGGGTGCAGTCAGTGCAGTTAGCCACCTGTCAAAAATCAAGAGGTCAAAACTGCCCAGATGCACCTCCGGAGAAAGGCCTGGTGATCTGGTTCTAAAACTCCAGCCTCCCCGAGCCCTGTGGAGTGCAGGTCACTCCCACAACTGGTCTGGTGCACTCAGTGGGATGGCTTAACCATCAACTTAAAATTCCATAAAAAAAAATTCAAAATAATGGCAACAGAAGAACAATACGGATTAAAATAACTCCAACAGAAAATGCAGTAAAACATTTGTGGAGAAAATGTGAAGTTTTGTCAACAGATAAGAAAAAGCCATCTGAACGGAGTGTTGGGCCACGGATTAGGAGAGCCCCGTGGTGTTCGTTCCGTTATCTGCAGACGGATGCAGTTCTCCTCGGGAGCCCAGAGTTTGGCAGGATCCCACACGCTGGTTTCAGCGGTATCTGGAGGCAGAAAGGCCCAAGAATTAAAGGCAGTGGTGATGGACTGCTCGTCCAGCCACCGAGAAAGTCCGGCCTGTCTGCGTGATCCCCAGTGCACACCATGCGCGTCCACTCCTGCAGCTGTCCACTCCAGAGAGCCAGCCTTGCGACCCTGGGCAGCTCTGCTCCATCCTGTTGGGTTGCTGTGAGTCCCAGCTGACGTGATGGCAGTGGGTTTTGGCATTAATTACCTCACATTTCTGGGGGTCAGAAATCCAAAATGGCTCTCACGGACCAGAACCAAGTGCCATGAGGACTGGGTCACCCTCAGGGTTCTGGGGGCTCTGCCTTTTCTAGTATATAGACCATCACAATAAAAATCAAATAACAGCAAATCCCACAGCCTTGCGTCGCCTGTTTTCCAGCCACGTGTGAAGCGGTGTGGACACCTCCTGTGGTCTGTTAGGCTCCAGCTGTTAGACTGGTTGCCCAGTGGGGCTGCAGCTGACCTTGGCGGGAGCAGGCAGGTCTGCAGAGCACAGTGGGGAGAGGTGGCGCTGCCCACTCGGCTGGAGATGTGGGTCTAGACGTTGCTCCTCCCACCACGGGGCGTGAGAATTGAGGTTCCAGAGACAGAATTGTAAAACTTTTGAAAGATAATGTTGTTGTATGCCACTGATTTGGTGCTGACTCTCCAGATTTTCAGGAGCATAAATTATGCAGGAGATTTTCCATCCTTCTGTGGAGCAGCTAGTGGATTTGACCCACGTGCCTTTGGAATGGCAGCATAGTTTCTTACCACTAGGCCATCAAAGCTCCCGAAAAGATGTTGTTGTTGTTTTGAGTTGCCTGTGACTCATAGCAACCCAATGGGCAATAACTCAGAAGCTGACCCTATCCTGAGCCAGTCTCACCCTCTGCCACACCTGCCCACATTACCCCAGGCACTGTGTCATTCCATCTCATCCTCCACCTTTCCAAGCATGAAGTCCTTCTCCAGGGATTGATCCCTACTGGCAACGTGTCCCAGGTATGTGAAGCAGACTTCAAAATCCTTGCCTCTAAGGAGCAAACTGGCTTCACGCTCTCCAGGACAGAACTGTTTGTTCTCTTGGCAGTCCATGGTATGTTCCGAACTCTTTTCCAGCATCACTAATCAAAGGCATTGGTTCTTCTTCTATTATTCTTAATCATTGTCCAGCTTTCTGATGCATAACAAGCAATTGAGAATACCAAGATCTGGCTCAGGCGCACCTTAGTCTCTAGACTGACATCATTGCTCTTTGGCATTTTGGAGAGATCCCTGATAGACTTTCCTAAAGCTACTCATCTTTTGATTTCCTCACTGCTGGTGCCAACAGTGGTGTTGATTGTGGATCTGAGCAAGCTGCAATTTCCAACAATCTCAGTCTCTTCTCCATCTCTTGTGCTGCCAATTGGATCAGTGGTGAGAATCTTTTGTTTTCCTGATGTTAAGTTTCAATCTATATTGAAGATTGCAGTCCTTGACCTTCTGCAGCAAATGCTTCAAGTCTTTCTCAGTTTCAGCAAGCAAGGTTTTGTCATCTACATAATGCAGGTTATTGATGAGTCTTCCTTCAATCCTGATGCCACATTCCTCCTCCTCAAGTCCAGCCTCCCAAATGATCTGTTCTGTATATATATATTAAAAGATATGGAGAAAGGGTACATCTCTTATATACTTGTTACTTGATTTGGAACTGTGTTGTGCAGAGAGGACAGCTACCTGGCCAACTGATTGGAAGAGATACATATTTATCCCTGTTTCCCCCTAAAAGTGATCCAACAGAGTGTGGAAATTACTGAACAGCATCACTGATTATCTCATGCAAGCCAAATCTTGCTGAAGATTATCCAAAACTGACTAGAACAATACATTGATAGAGAACTGCCAGAAATACAGGCGGGGTTTAGAAGAGGCCTGGCACTCAAGCTCTCATTGCCAGAATTCAGATGGATCTTGGCCAAAAGCAGATTGTACCAGAAGATTTTAGGAAAGAAATATTTCTAGGACGTTGGTCTGGGGAGGAATTTTGGTTAAAAGCACAGATGAAGAACCGCCTTCTGTCATGTTATTGCTGGTGCCAACAAGTCGGCTCCAGCTCAGAGGACTCTGTGTGACAGTAGAACTGCCCTCTCTCACTTCGTAGACCGTCATCTCCATGCGGATCAATCACCCATGCTTGTCTCCTTTGGAGTTGCTGGGTGGGTTTGAACTCCTGACCTTTTAGGTTGATAGCCAAAAGCTTATCCAGTGTGTCACCAGGACTCCTTTGCTATCAAGAGATGGACTTTAAAGCAAAGAGAAGACAAGCCCACGAGGGGTTGGGTATCCACAGACCCTGACTCAGAAGGGTCTTCCAGAGTCAGCTGCCTGAGGAATGGGCTGCAGAGGTGGTCACCTGGAGGACACCAGACTGGCCCAGCTTCCGGAAGCATGCGTCCCTGTGAGCCGCTGCTGTGTGCTCACCGGAGTGGAGCCCGAGACACTGACAGAGCTGCATGTCCGCTGGCCGTGGAACACCAGGAGCCCACGCCTCGAGTGACAGCGTGTGTCCTCTTGTGCATGGCCCGCTTGGTCACTGTCCTCTAAGCCCCCTCCCTCAGGGTCACCCTGACACATGGCAGTCCCTGCACAACAGCCGTCACTGGTCGTCACCGGCCGCTGGGTGGTGGGAGTGACTTTACCCTCACGAGTCCCCTCCAGAGCCCTGGGGGAGCCTTCACTCGGGGCACCTGAAGGGGTACAGTCACAGGATGGGAGACAGACCAGCCAGCAGCCCACATGGCGCACACGGCCACGCGCAAGGGCTTGGGCCTCCCCGCACCCCTGCCTGCTCTGCCACCAGCAGGGTGGGGCTCGGACATGACACTGGCTATCAGAGCAAGTCACCGAGCTTTCGTCCCTCGTCCTCCGCGAGCCCTGACTTCCGACAGCTCCGTATGATGGGGACAGCGGCCCCATGGGGTTTCCTGGCTGTAACGTCTCCTGAAGCATGTCACCAGGTCCTTCTCCCACAGAGCTGCTGGCTAGGTGTGAACCTCTAACCTTTTATTAGCTGTTGAGTCTTCCACTGATGGGGGCTCCCTGTCCCTAAGAACCTAGAGTGCAGAGTGAGGCATATGAGCAGGCATGTCGCAGACTTTTCTCTGGACCTCCAGCCCTTTGATAGAGGACACATCTGTGCCAGGCATCTGTGAGTGCTGCTTTCAGGAGTTGACCTGGTGAGCCCCCCGGCCTGGAGAGCCCCCCGGCCTGGTGAGCCCACCCTCCCAGAGGTCTGCATGGAAGGTGGATCTCCTGAGTGTATCACGTAAATAAATAAGTGTTCCCAGTCAGGGGCGTGGAGAGCTCAGTGTCCCGGGAGTGTGTGGACGTGATCCCTGCGGGTCTGCTCGTGGCTGAGGGGTGTGGGTGTGGATGTGACCCCCGCTGGTCTGCTCGTGGACGGGGTGTGTGGGTGTGACCCCCCATCTGCTCGTAGGTGGGGTGTGTGGGTGTGACCCCCGCGGGTCTGCTCCTGGATGAGCTGTGTGGATGTTCTCCATGGCACGAGCTGGTCATGGCAGAGGGAATGTCTGGTGACCTCGGTGCCTCTCTGCTAAAGGAGAACCGAGGCTCCCAGCAAGTGGCCCAGGTGGGCAGTACCTGTCCCCAGAGAGGGTGTCTGAGGAGAGCTGAGAGTGCCCATACTCAGTCCCCACCCAACAGGGAGTGCACTCTGGGACCCCATGGGAGTTGGGGTGTGGCTCCTCCCCAGTGTCTGCCCTGTGGGTGGGGTCGGTGGCGTCCTCCTGAGAACCAGGGCCACAGCCTGAGCCCAGGGGTCCAGATCTGGGCTAAGGCCTTCATCAGGCTGTTCTTGGGGAGCTGCGGGCTGGGATCTGGGCTCCACCTCGGACCATCTCCCTGTTTCCTTTCAGAGGATGGGAGGGGCAAGCTGCGGCCAGCCAAGGCCAAGGGCGACCGGAAGAAGAAAGCCTACGGGCCCCTGCTCAGCCACCTGCCCCCACCAACCCTGCCGCCAGCACCCCAGACCCCCTTCACCTCTGAGGAGGTGGCCCTGCCGCCCCCCCTGCTGGAGCCCCCTGTGCTGGTGCCCACTCCCACTGCTGCCCACGAGGAAGGCCTGCCCCCCACAGCCCTGAACGTGATGCCACCCGAGGCCCCTGGCAGCTCAGAGGATGAGGCCAAGCCTCGGCCCATCATCCCCATGCTGTATGTGGTGCCCCGGGGCGAGCGTGCGGCCAGTGACAGGGAGGCCCGCACGCCCCAGCAGACCTTCGAGCACTTTGTCCCCAAGGGCACCACCTGGCCCGAGCCCACTGCACCCATGGAACTGACACTGCAGGAGGGCCAGGGAGGATCTGGACACCCCGAGGCACCAGTTCGGGCTGGTGATGTGCAGGTGGGTGCCCGGGTCACCCATCCAGGCAGTGATGGGCAGATAGAGGCAGGAATGGGGAGGCAGGCACCCCAGATACCCACCTGGGCTGGTGATGTTCATTCAGGTAGGTGCTGGAGACACCTGCCCAAGTAAAGATGATAGAGTGGGTCAGTACAGCATGGGCAGGCAGGCACAGGGATGGGGTAGCATGGGCAGGCGGACACAGGGACGGGACAGCATGGGCAGGTAGACACAGGAACAGGCAGGGACAGGGACGGGGCAGCATGGGCAAGCGGTCACAGGGACGGGGCGGCATGGGCAGGCACAGGGACGGGACAGCATGGGCAGGTGGACACAGGAACAGGCAGGCACAGGGACGGGGCAGCATGGGCAGGCGGTCACAGGGACGGGGC